AAAAAGAATATGAAGAAAAATAGCATGCAAGAATAGGGGCCAAAAGAGGGGTAATGAAGCAAGTGATATAAGAAAAATCCAAACTGAAAAATTCCCTTCTACAACACTGAAGAGGGACCAAAAATATGAACATTTACAGTATATGGCAGCCTCAAAATCAGTATACAAACATGATAGAAATGTGATGCAAAATAAGGCTCAAAAGTGGCTATAACATGAGGTATGCAAAATAATCACCAAACAGCCAAAGACCCTTAATAAAACATGTAGAATGGACCAAAATAATCACTTTTCCAGAACTGTAAAATGGCCAAAAACAAAAGCATGGTAGGCTAACTAAACATGCAAGAATGGGGAATAAAAGAAGGATATAACATGAAGTGACCTATGGAGGACCCAAACCATGAAAGGACCTAAATGAAACATGAAGAATGGACCCAAATAAGCACTTTTTCAAAACTGTAAAATGGCCAAAAACAAAAGTATGATAGGCTGCCATTGCATGCAAGAATGGGGAAGAAAGGAGGGATATAAAGGTAGGTATAACATGGAAGTCCCAAATAGTGTTGAGCCCTTCTCCAATGTTGAAGAGGGGATCAAAATAACCCTAATATCAGTTTACAACATGCTCAGGCTCAAAATAAGCCTAATATCAGTTTAAAACATGCTCGAAAACAGATTTTTCATGGGTAAAAAATAGCATGCAAAACTATGACATACAAGAGGATCAATGAAGCAAGTGTGTCATGGAGGGCTCAAACAGGGTTGAGCCCTTAATGAAGAGTGAAGATGAGCTCAAAAGAGGGTCCTTTTCAGTTGGGGCCGGAGCTTGAAACAAAAAGCAAGTGAGGCTTACAAATGAATCAAGAAAAAGGGTCAAAAGGGGAAAAGTATCACTCACCCTTGAAGACTTAAACTTTTGTTGCTTCTTGGATGGATTTGCAGCTTCTTTTGTCTTTGAGAAACCTTCCTTGTTGCTGGAAATGAGGTGGTGGTGGTAGAGCTTGGTGGTGTAGAAGGAATGGTGCTTAAGGACTTAAGGTTTTTCAAAGAATTGAGAAGGATGAAGATGGAGTCACTACTAGAAATGTGGTCTTTTGCGTCTATTTTTTTACGACCGATTGTTTAACCGTCGCAAAAAATATTTTTATATCCTAATCCCGTTCTAATTAACACGCAGTTGTCTCTTTTAAAAAAAAAAATCATCCATATCGGGTATAACTTGCCCTATCCCCAAATCGTGTATGCATCAACTCTTATTTCCCAAATCGGTATGAACTCTCTCTCTCAAAATCTCACTCTTCGCTCTCTCTCGCTCTACTCTCTCTTTCAACTCACCACTCTCAATTTTATTGTTCATTTGAAGATGTCGATCAATTGTTGGTGAATATTTGAAGATTTTGATCGATCGTTGATGAAGATTTCAATCTGCTGTTGATGAAGATTTCGATTGATTCATGATCGGTAAGTCTATTTTTTATGTATGAATCTAACTCTGTCTCTATAATCTCTATATCTTTTTCTCAGCTCCCAAATTCTCTTCGGCTTTTCGCGAAGATCAGCATCAGTTTAGAGGAAGTGGATTTCGAAATCAACATGAATTTTTCCAATTCAATTTATTTTTATCAATGCGGTGCGAACTCTGATTTGGAAATAGGTTTTTGATTTGAAGATTCATTTTATTTTTTTAATTATTAAATCTCGATTTTCTTTGGCTTTTAAACTTGATCTGAACATTTCTCTGGATTGTTTGATAAATTTCATGTAGTTTTTGAACCTCTTACAATCCACTTAGTTGTGGACATCGCTATTCTCGGTCTTTCTTTTCCTGATCTCTGAGTTGTTCCATTTGATTTATTCTTCACTTCTCTTCTGTCTTTGTGTGTTTGATTGTTGAGAATTGATTAAATTATACCAGATACTACTTTTTTGTGTTTTCTATATGTTTTATTGTACTAGTAATGATTTGAATTAGACTTGATTTTGATTCTGTTAAGCTGGACCCTCTTGATTTTGGAATTTATTTATTTGCTTCAGATGTCAAGCATTTTTAGGAGGATCCATGGTTTGTTTTGGAAAAATTAGTTTGAGGAATGTGAAAGTGAAATTTACTTGATTAGCAGCATCTATTCTAACAGTTTTCAACTGTTACAAGCTTGTGTTTGTGAAAGCTGCTTCTTGAATGTTGTTTAATTGCATTATACAGTGGCTGGTTGTCTCATCTCACGAACAGTTGTTGCTTGTTGTTCTTGATATGTTGGGGCTTCAACAGGTAAAGGAGAGATAAGAAAAATAAAGAGTCAGAAAGAAGAGAAGACAATTGAATTGGTGAGTGAGATTGCTGCTGGTTGCAGCGTGAGGAAGAAGGGGGAGGAGGAAAGAGAAAAGTAAAGAAAAAAATATGGGGTAAAATTGTCATTGAACACTCTAAATTTATCATACACATTCAATCCCGCTCGTGTATTTGCCAATTTTGATGGAATTTTCCAATTTTGCACTCCAAGGTTGTGTACATTTTTAAATGTCATGGGTTAATATGTTTTTAGATTAAGCATAGGGGTTATAGTGTAACTAACCCTTGTTTATATTGCTGAATAGCCACATCACATGTCACGCTCTGAAATTTTTTTTGACTAGCTCTCTATACTTGATGGGAATTTACTGTCTACCTTCTCATGAATTTATGCATTGTTCATGCTTTCCTTTTTATTTGTTTTCCCACAATTTATCATATCACTCACATGTACGGTATGCTTATTAATGACCTTGTTTTCTGCTTGCAAAGATTGTATGCCATAAAATACAGCATGTGCTCTCTGTCTTTCTGGTTGTAGATCATTTTCTCATTTGTGCTATGTTAGTACAAAAATCCTTGCTAAGGACCTGCTTAGTAATTTATTTTGAGCTTGAGTTTTCATCAAAAATAATATTTTTCACTTTTTTACTTTAAGGAGTATGTGTCCATGATATGTTCAAAGTTGATGTCATTAAAGACAAAAGCCCAGCGGACCCTGGTTAGTTCTTCACCATCAGGACCTGCTTATACCGTTGAAAATTCTGCACATCAAGGTAGTTATTAAAATTGAGAAGGTGCTTTTATGTGTGGCAATAGGAAGTATGTGCCCACTCCATCATCTCTTCTTATTTTGTCATATACATGAATATTTCTTTCTCAAAAAGCATTTTCATTTTCTCAAATTCGTTCTTGCCTCCTTTATTTAATCTCAATTCTTCTCAATTTCAGAATAATCTCGGTCTGAATTCTGAAAACATTAAAATGTTTCAAGTGACCAAAGTTTTTAGTTGCAACATGTTAACTAAATGCTTCTTAACTTATTTTTTTCTCTTGGTTGTTTATGTAAATAGCATCTGACAGGCCTCTGGCCCAGCTGTATGATCAAGGACAATCACTCTCTAATCCATTGGCCAGTCATCCTGAAACATCTAACACTACTAGAAATATAACTTTTTGCGTCTATTCTTTTGCAACTGATTGGTTGACCGTCGCAAAAAAACACCTTTTATATCAACATCTCATTTAACATAAACCCCAAATCGTGCCTTTAACTTTAAAAAAAAAAAAAAAAAAAACCAAATCGTATAAAACTTGCCCTATACCCTTTCACTCTTATTTCCCAAATCTGTGTCGATTTCGCTCTCTTGATTTCGTTCTCGATATTCCTCTCTCGATTTCGCTCTGTTTCTTGTTCTATAAATCGCCATGGTCGTCTGAAGAAGAGACCTGCAATGGTATGAACTCCCCTAACTTCTTCATTATTTTGTGATCTAGAACTAGCTGATTATCATTGGTACGATCCACAATATATTCTTAGATACATATCTGATCCTGAATCAGGGTGACTGACTTTGGGGTTAGATTGGGAAGTGTTTTTGACTTTGGGGCCATGGACCCCATCTACCTCTTCTGTGTCTTCCATTGCATGTAATTGTTGCTAATATATTGTTAACTTATTGTGAATATGGCAGCTGGTGGTGCTCAAACAAACTCCACTACAAGATCGAATCTTCCTGGAGATGCTAGGCTGCCGGCAGTTGGTGGCCTTGGTGGTCTTGGTCTCCCAGAGATGTTTGGTTCCATGCAGGATACTGCTTCATTAAGTCAGTTTGCACAAAATCCAGCTGTATCACAAATGATGCAAGTTCTCCTCTCCAACCCTCAGTACATGAATCAGGTAGTAATTTTCTTTGTTATGCAATTTGCTTTGTATTTGAATGTGAAGTTTCTTATACCCTAATGCTTTTCAATTGTTAGATTAGATTCTTGGTCTCAATCCCCAGCAGAGCAATATGCTGGGTTCCAATTCCCAACAGTATTGATCATGTGGCTTGGTAGGTTGTTAAAACATCATCAGATAAGTTTTTGCTTGTTCCTGACATCTTGGTGTATATTTATGAAGGTCTTTAAGATGACTGCTAATGTGATGCTCAATATTGCTAGAGCTGATTGGAGTTAAATCTATCTGATGTAGGACACAATAATTGGATTTTTACTGGCTGGAGTAGACAATGTGGATTTGCGGAGAAAGACGAATTACCTAATTGTGGACTCAAGTATGCTTTTGGGCTCCAAATGTTCTGAAATTTTAATGTTTCAGGCATTACTGTGTTGGATTTATGTGATTACCTCTTTCATATTAAGGAAGTTGCATTTTTTTTTTTAGTGTATTGTTTGTCTTCTGTTGTTTTTAGTTCTGAAGTGAACATTCCATGCTATCTGAAAGAATATAGTCACCAATAATGTGACTGGCTTTTGATGTTTTTTCCTGTGGTAGTTGTTTTGGGAGTAGTTCTCACTAAAATAACTTGCATATGATGAATTGAAAAGCTATCTCCAATAAATGACTAGACGGTCAACATACTTTAATTTTATGATAAAATCATTAAAGCCTACTAGTTACTCTTGTCATTTATGCTGTAGATTTTGTTTCTCTGTAACAGAATAAGCAGCTAAGGAGATTCAAAATTTGCTGTAAAATTGTTGAGAGAGAGAGAGAGAGAGAGAGAGAACTTGAAACTACATGGGTTTCAGATGCTGTTATACAGCTCCAAATTTTTGTTCTTGCCCTGTATCCTTAGTTATGGAATTAGAATCTGTCCTTTCTCCCGAGTTAATTTCAATTCAATTGAATTTTTGGATATTCTTATTTTGGCTTATAAATGTTCTTTTATTATGGCTTAGAAACAACTGTTAAGCAAATTGAAGAAGCATTCAAGGAGTTTACAACAAGAGAAGACGTTGTAATAGTGATGATCAGCCAATATGTAAGTTTTTGTTCTTCTCTGTCATATTTTTGATTGATTTTAATGCTCTTCTGTGGTATGACTTATGCATATGATTATAGTGCATGCTTATACCTTATCAGATGCATCATGAGCACCCTAAGATGCTTCTTTTTTCTTTTTCTTCTTTATTTTATCCTATAACTTTATTCAATACAGAGTCGCAGCTTACATTATTGGGAATTACAGGAATGGACAAAAAATATATATATATGTATATATATGTATTAGGGAACATTACCAATATGGATATCTTTTCTCTTCAAATTACTATCAAGTCCTATTAACTTTTAATTGCAAGGCTTTCTGTGAGAGAGAGAGAGAGAGAGAGAGTAACACAGATTCTCTGTTGCATGTGTAGTGTAGTTGCTTGTTCTAATCTTGAGAGGATAAGGAGACTTAAGAAAAAAACTTTATTGAAGAATAAACATGCATCCTAGAATTATTTGACTGACAAGGACTGTATTCATACATCTTGATTAGTTTGAACACATCCATCTGGAAGAGCTCCCTTCTATACCTCAAGTTCCAGCCACGTAATCCATCCTTGCCATTAAAAGGTTTCCTAGACAGATAAATCCTTGGTCCTTGAAAGCAAATACAGATATTTGCTGTGTATGAAGTTCTTGAAGGATATCACTATATTTCCCCATGTATTATGTCGTATTAGGTCTGAAATTTATCCCTAGAGCATATCATATGGACCAAATCTGGTACTGCAAATGGGCTTTCTTCAGACTGTAATCTGATTCAATTGCAAATGGGTTTTCTTCAGGGACATCATTTACCTAGAATCATTTGCTGTGGAATGAGTTCAAAGGGTATATCATTTGCTGTGGAATGAGTTCAGACAATCATTGTCTTGATCCATACATTTTAATGAGTAGTTATAATTATCTGAGTACAGGTTGTTACACAATGGAATTTTAATTTATATCATAATTTTTTTCTTTGTTATGCTAGAATCTTATTCAAAATACGAATGAGATAAGACTGGAGTTATAATCCTTCATTTTTTAGGGGCTTGGCTCATCTAAATGACACCTCAAGAGGCCTTGAAAATTTGATTGGGCTGCAGGCCTATGAACCAAATACCGAGAGAGAGCCAAGTTCTGTATGCTGATTGACCCAAAAAATAGTGGCCATGTTTACTGAAAATTTGATTCCAAAAGTGATAGCAATAGGCACTATTGTTAGTCTATACAATATTTTAGTGCAGCTGCCTTTATCCCCATCAATGGTAACACAGACTTCTTGCCTAACATGAAATCAAAGCCTTTTGAATTTGTTGCTTTTTAAACTTGGTTGCATCTATAAGTCTTTGTTTAATTGCCACTTGCAGATTGAGTTCAGCTGTGGTGATTCATGACCATCATTTACTATACTAACACTTGTTCCACATTTGGACTTCATAGATTTTAGAGCTTAGCTATTATCAAATTTAACATTAAATTTTTTCGATCCATCTAAGTAGCAAAATTCAAATTCCCTTATTGATCAATTACTAGAAGCGGGTCAAATTCAAGAATGATTGTCTTGATGATGGTCATACCAGTAGTTATTTAATTTTTTTTTCCCTTTTGTTTATTTATTTTTATTTTTTGACAACTCCACTAGTACCTGTCACATGCTAGTAAAATTCTATAGACAAATTTTAGATTAGCCAGATATTTATACATTCTAGCGAAGCTATATACATACCTTGACAGTTGCACATTAGCTTATGTAATTTTAGTTATAGTATGCATTTGAGATTCTACTCTTATGTGCTATATTGACAGGAAGTTCCTTAGCTTTCAGGTTGATAACTTGGAATTCTGAGGGAAATGAGGATCAACCCAATAAAGGTTGGTTTTTTAATTTGGCAATAGATTACACTAGTAGTTCTATTATACATATTATAGTTCCCGCAATCCCTCTTGTTTCACTTGTTTTTGTTCTGATAACCAGAATTTTGGTTATATTTTCTAGTCTTTCTTATGTTCATCTGACATAGAATAATTATGTGTGTGCTTGCTTACACATGCACATGCGCTCCAAAAATTAACCCCATGAATCTGGAAGGACTTCTGCTCTCACCTTTATAGTGAAATAATTCATCTTTGTTGCTTGTGACATTTTGGCTGGCATCAATTATAGGTTGCCAAAGCATTAGTGGAAGTGTTTGCTGAAATGATTTTGATGAATATGGGTGCAAGGTGTTACGCCAGTTCATTGATAGAGTGGAGAAACACCCGAGCAAGAAAATTGATGAGAAGATTGGCCAGTTCTGGATTGTATTTTTTTCATAAAAGAACTTTTTTCAAGTTTTTAGTTGTATTAACTTTTACATGTAGCTCAAATTTTGAGACTCAAATAGAATGTTCAATAAAACTATAATGCTATACTGTCTGAATTCTTGTCATTGTTATTCCTAGAGTGCTTAACGCTACACTTTCATTTATTTATTTTTATTTTTATTTTTAATTTTTTGCGACGGTAACAAGATGGTCGTCAAAGATCATGTTAGTGTTTTTCTTTGTTTTTTGCGACGGCAAAATAGCGGTCGCCATAAGTAGTTTAGGTGGTCGCAAATAATTTGCGACCGTTGTTTTTCCGTCGCAAAAAGTATTTGCCACCCCCATATTCGCGACCCCCATTTGCCGTCGCATGGGCCGTCGCAAAAAGTCTTTTGCGACTGTTTTTTATTATTTGCGACGGTTTATAGCGGTCGCAAAAAGTGGTTTTTTTAGTTGTGTATCAATGTTAATGTTAACATGTCAATGTGAATATTCACATTGTCACGGGTCGGGCCAAGCCCGCCTCGGGCTGTAATCGGGCTTCGGGCCACCCACGGGCTGCAGGCCAATTTTACACTCCTATCAATGTGAATGTTAACATGTCAATGTGAATATTCACATCGCCAACGGGCCGGGCCCGCCCTGGCCCGAGGTCGGGCTTCGGGCTGCCCACGGGTCACGGGCCAATTGTACACTCTTATCAATGTGAATCTTAACATGTCAATGTGAATATTCACATTGTCAACAGGCTGAGCCGGGCCCATCCCGGGCCGCCCACGGGCCGTGGACGGGTTTCGGGCAGCCACGGGGCGCGGGCTAATTTTACACTCCTATCAATGTGAATGTTAACATGTCAATGTGAATATTCACATTGTCAACGGGCCGGGCCGGGCCGAGTCGGACCCGCCCTGGGCTGCTGTCTAGTTTTATACTCTTATCAATGTGAATGTTAACATATCAATGTGAACATTCACATTGCCAACAGGCCGGGCCGGGCCCGCCCACGGGCCGTGGGCTGGTTTCGTGCAGTTACGAGGTGCGGGCTAATTTTACACTCCTATCAATGTGAATGTTAACATGTCAATGTGAGTATTCACATTGTCAACGGGTCGGGCCGGGCCCGTTCCGGGCTGCGGGCGGGCTTTTGGCTGCCCATGGGCCAGGGCCCAATTTTATACTCTTATCAATGTGAATGTTAACATGTCAATGTGAATATTCACATTGTCAACGGGCCGGGCCCGCCCTGGCTGGCGGGCGGGTTTCGGGCCGCCCACGGGCCAATTTACATTCTTACAAATGTGAATTTTAAAATATGAATGTTCACATCATTAAATTGCTAATCGTTGAAAAAATATTTATAAGGGTATCAAAATTAAATATAAGGGCATAAGTGTCCAAGAAAATAGTGTAAATTAAGAAAATAGACGTTATGGAATAAAACTATACATACATGGGACTAAATGGGTTAAAGAATTCCTTCATGAACTTCTTGGGTTAAAACACTTCTAAATTGGACTTATCAATAAAAATCCCTTAAAAGAATCTTATAAAATAAACACTTTCGCATTGTCAAAATGACAATGACCATTAGAGATCCTCTAATTTCTCTATTTTATTGCATTTGTCTTACAAAAATGAATGATAAATATATTTTTGAAAATAGACCGTTTATTTTTAGAGAAAATTGCCAATAAATCCAGTATAACTGTCGCGTGAGGCGATAGGTCCAGTGAATTTTTTTTTGTTGTTGAAAAATCCACGTTTTATGAAAGATTTATTTATGAGAAAATTGCTGATAAATCCTGTATAACAGTTGTATAAGGTGATAGGTCTAGTGGATTTTTTTTATTACTAAAAAGTTCACGTTTTGTAAAATAGTTTGGTGAGAAGTATTTATTTATTTATTTTTTTTTTGGAGGATATTTTGTTTCTGATTTTGCCATTTTCTGTTATGGAAGTTTCTATATAAGACTGTGGAATTGTGGAGTGTGTGAGATCTTTTCTGCATGAATGGTCGAGTTTGAGATATTCTTCAACGTATTGTCAAGATTGATTGATTGTTGATTTTGATAGATTGTCGAGACTGATAGATTGTTGATTCTGAGAGATTGTCTAGACTGAAAGATACTGTCCTACAAATTGTTGATCTTCTTCGAAAAGTTCAACATTTTTTTGTAAGTCCTAGTTGTTATGATTATGTTTTCTGCAAGTATTGGTTCGATTTGTTTAAATAGTTCGAACATATAGGTTGTTATTTGTATCGCTGAGCTATAATATTTGTTATTGTGATTGAAAACAAAGGTTGGAGCTATATATTCGAAGTTGTGTTACTTTTTTTATTATTCTAATTTGATTTATTTTGGTGAATAGATTTTGTGTTGTTGAACAGATAGATTTTGAATAGATAGATTTGCTATTGGAATCAATTATATGTGGTGTATTGTTTTTGTATATGGGCAATGTACATGTATTTATTGAGTTTAATGCTTCATTGGTGTGAAATATACATGTACTTATCTGTTAAAATGGATAGGTTTTTGTAAGGAGATGTGGTTCTTGTTTTGTTTGAAAAGATATATGTCTTTTTAAGAGTATATATTGTTTATCTATTCAAAATAATAAGCTGATTGTTGATTTTTACCTATTTGTAGAAATAAGAAATTATGTTTAAATTTTGGAAATGTCTATTTGAGATTATTTATCTATTGGAATCAGTTATATGTGGTGTATTATTTTTGTATGTGGGCAATGTACATGTATTTATTGAGTTTAATGCTTCATTGGTGTGAAATATACATGTACTTATCTGTTAAAATGGATAGGTTTTTGTAAGGAGATGTGGTTCTTGTTTTGTTTGAAAAGATATATGTCTTTTTAAGAGTATATATTGTTTATCTATTCAAAATAATAAGCTGATTGTTGATTTTTACCTATTTGTAGAAATAAGAAATTATGTTTAAATTTTGGAAATGTCTATTTGAGATTATTTATCTATTGGAATCAGTTATATGTGGTGTATTATTTTTGTATGTGGGCAATGTACATGTATTTATTGAGTTTAATGCTTCTTTGGTGTGAAATGTACATATATTTATTTGTTAAAATAGATAGGTTTTTGTAAGGAGATGTGGTTCTTGTTTTGTTTGAACATGTAGGTTTCTTATGTATGTTATGTTTTTATTTTGTTTTTGTGTTGGTGAATTACAATGGAGAGTGTAGTAGTTTTGCAGTGCAAATATCGTGATGAAACACTTGTGATTAATATGACTGGTAATCGGTCTCTAAA